TGAATCTATTTAAATAGATTTATTTATTATATGTATATTAATTTTTATTTCAATTATTATAAGAAAAATTTTATTTATTGTCTTCTTGATTAATATATTTACACATTCAATTATATGAAAGAATTAAGACATTTTTATCTTTTGTTTGTTAATTTTCATTATTCATTTAATTTATCTAACTAAATTTTTTACTGTAATTATATTAAATATTTGATCTATAAATTATTTTTAAACGTGTAAATTTAGTATCGCTGTCCGCGACACATTCCCTGACTGCTTTAGTAGCATATTCATTAGATTTGTATTATTATAAAATGTTAAGAATTATACTTTTCAAAAATTTATATGTTTTTAATCTGCAACTTAATTCTATCAATTTCATTTTTATTTTTTCATTCTTCCTTAGTATGCATTCCAACATAGCTCGAAATGCATCAACTTTAGTAAACCCAATTTGGTTTTTCGAACTCAAATTAGATTTTTTATTTTCATAGTTTTCAGCGATGAAGACAATTATATATTTCAAAATAAAAATATAATCTTTACACATATTCTTGGTTCTTTCTCATATTTTATTTTAAAGATTTTGAACACAATTAATTAAGCTTTGTGTAAGTCTCTTTTTTGTATAATTTTCTTATGTAATTATTTTAGTCAACTTTGGAAGTATTTAATTGATTATGTAATTATTTTAGTTATTCTTTAATTCTCATTTTTATAGTAATAATAAAAATTTTTTAGTTTAATGATACATGTAAATTTTAAACAAAATATTTTTGGAATATCTTTAGAGAATAATTCTTATTTTAAATGGGTGGAGAAAATATTTTAAGGAGCACCATATCATATTCTAGACCTTTTTAAAAGGAACAATTGTATAAATGAAGATAAACAGTAAATTACAATGATTTTTCTCGAGTAGTAGTTTAATAGTTAGTAGTTTAATACTTAAGTAGCCAATATTTTCTGTTTATTAGATTTTTGGCTTAAATTTTGCTTACCATCATAATCCAATTGAGAGAATACAATTTTTTAAATGTATTCATGTATCAAATATTTAACATATATTTAACATGCATAACTCAGACTTCTTGATTGATTTTCTTTATAAAATTAATAATTTATTAATCTTTATTTATTTGTTATTGTGACTTGAAAATAAACAAATTTCACTTTTGAAGATTAATTTAATCAGCTTTTATCGTATGTTTAATATGAATTTTTATAATAAAAAATTTTTGTCATTTTTTCATCTCTGGATTTTTTTGTTTATTTGCTTTTCTGAAACCCATCAGATGAAATCCTGAAATATGCGCATATATATGCACCAAAAAAGCCCAAAATATGCACCAAAATATGCCAAATTTTCCAAAAATATGCACTAAATATGCAGCAAAAATAATGAAAATGTGCTTTAAAAATCAATATTTAAATTCAATTCAATTCAATTTATACATATAAAACGTGACATTCAGATAGAAATAAAATGAAACGTAACTAATTTAAATTAAAAGTTTTGTATAAGGTCTGGAGACAATAAAATGGAATTTGACTTTGATAAAAAATTGTTTAGGTTGATATTGTTTAGGAGCTTTGGAAACAATTCGATTGACGATTTTTGTAATTCTATAGGAAGTTTTCTGTAAATGTTTGAGATGTCTATAAAACTAAATTCATGCTAAATTAATTCAATGCTAAATTAATAAATTAAAAAATATTAATTTAGCATTGAAATTGCAGTATAACTTCTAAAAGATTTTATCAACTTAATATTCAACCAAAAAAATTTTTTTGTTAAAAAATTTTTCCCGAAAAATTTTTCGGAAAAATTTTTTAAACAAATTTTTATTAACAAAATTTTTTTGCTCAAAAAATTCCAACATTTAAAAATTTTGCCCGATTTTTACTAAAATTTTTCAAAAAATGCCAAAATATGCACAAATTTAGGTAAAAATATGCAAAATTTCCCAAAATATGCCTCGATATGCAACTATGCACGAAAATACCGAAATATGCAAAAATATGCTATAGGAACTCGGTCCCTAATGTTCGTACCGTCCTAAAAACACCATTTTTGAGCGTTTCAGCTCATGGCATATCCGCATGCAAAATATGCATTTGCATGTTTTGCCACTCCCTAGATATCATAAAGCAAAATTGTCTCAATTTTGTTATATTAGTTTAATTATCTAACATTTTTATTATCACTTTATAATTATTTATTTTGATATAGATATTCACATCTAAACAGACCGATATCTTTTCTTACATTTGGCAGTTTTTCTGCACATTGTCTAATTTCAAATATTTTGAAAATTAATTCTGAAACAACCATATAAATATTCACTTTCAACCAATATAACTTTGATTTAGAATTATTTCAAAACAAATTACTTTATATTGACATTTAACAATTAAATAAAATTTTAAATCACCTTTTATTATAATAATTTTTAACTATTGTAAATTTCGCTAGCATTTCAATAGTGATTTTCAACTTTAATATTTTATTACAAATATGATTTATTTATTTTCGCCTTGGATCTGTATTTTATTTATTAAAATTCTGATATAATAATCACTTTAAAAATATATTTTAAATAAGAATTAGGTATATTATTTATTATTAATATTTAAGCCTATAAGTTTACAATAATATCTTATTATATAATTGAGAAGGGTGTGTCTGTTTGTTTGTCTGTCCTTTTATAGACAAGTGGGTTTTTATAGTAAAATGATTGGGGGAGTGAAGAAAAGTGGGCTTTTATAGTAAAGCGTTGCCAGTTGAATTAGGTTGTAAGGGTAGGAATATAGTATAAAAGCAGGGTATTTTAGTCATTCTTCAACTGCTTTCAACACTTCTAAACTTTACTGCGCTCTGTTCTACGTTTGCTGGAGTCCTGTGTCCTCTTGAGTTAGGCGTCAACGTTCATTTGTCAAGTGCTATCTGTCAACGTCACTTGAAGTGCCAGGCGTCAACGTTCATTTGTCAAGTGCCAGGCGTCAACGTTCATGTGTCAAGTGCTAGCTGTCAACGTCACTTGAAGTGCCAGGCGTCAACGGTCATTTGTCAAGTGCTAGCTGTCAACGTCACTTGAAGTGCCAGGCGTCAACGTTCATTTGTCAAGTGCTAGACGTCAACGTTCATGTGTCAAGCGCTAGCTGTCAACTTCACTTGAAGTGCCAGGCGTCAACGTTCATTTGTCAAGTGCTAGACGTCAACGTTCATGTGTCAAGAGCTAGCTGTCAACGTCACTTGAAGTGCCAGGCGTCAACGTTCATTTGTCAAGTGCTAGACGTCAACGTTCATGTGTCAAGCGCTAGCTGTCAACGTCAAATTGAAGTGCCAGGCGTCAACGTTCATTTGTCAAGTGCTAGACGTCAACGTTCATTTGTCGATTGCTTAATGAATAATTTTGAAATTATTTTTATAAAAAATATTCAGAAAGTTAAAGTGCTAGACGTCAACGTTCATGCACTTTAACTTTCTGAAGCACTTTAACTTTCTGAATATTTTTTATAAAAATAATTTCAAACAAAACATGATTAATGTTTTGTGCTAGGCGGCAACGTTAATGTGTCAAGTGCTAGGCGCCAACGATAATGTGTCAAGTGCTAGGCGCAAAGTTCATGCAGGCGGAATATTGAACAGGGGGAATTGTGAAGCAGGCGGAATATTGAAACAATGGGAATTGTGAAGCAGGCGGAATATTGAAACAGAAGGAATATTGAACAAGGGCGATTGTGAAACAGGGGGAGTGTGGAGCAGGCGGAATATTGAACAAGGGGAATTGTGAAACAGGTGGAATATTGAAACAATGGGAATTGTGAAAAAGGGGGAGTGTGGAGCAGGCGGAATATTGAACAAGGGGAATTGTGAAACAGGTGAAATATTGAAACAAAGGGAATTGTGAAACAGGGGAAGTTGTGGAGTAGGTGGAATATTGAAACGAGGAATTGTGAAGCACGCGGAATATTGAAACAGGCGGGATATTGAACAAGGGAAATTGTGAAGCAAGCGGTATTGTGAGAGGCAAGAGGTATTGGTAAGGAGGCGGAATATTGAAACAAGATGAATTGTTATGCAGGCGGAATATTGAAACAGGTGAAATTGTGAAGTAGTCGATATTGTGAGAGGCAAGGGGAATTGCGAAGCATGGGAATATCGAAACAGAGGGAATTGTGAAACAGGCGAAATTGTGAGGAGAAAAATATGTAAGCGAGATGTGCCGGCCAAAGGCTTTTGAATCGGATCTTGAGTTGAATTGTTTTGTTATGCTAGCGGTGTCACACGACGCCTGTGTTTACCCTATCAGGTGCACCTATTAGATGCTTTGTTTTGTTAAATGTATTGGTAATTAGGAAATGTTTTAATGCTGGTCAATGTTATGATAATCGGGTTTTTTTGATTATGATTGGATTAGGACCAATTTTGAGGTTGTGATAAGTTGATTAGGAGTTTGTTTTTTGGTCTGTTTTGTTTTTGCTAGCGGGGTGGGGCGGCCGAAGGCCGACCAACTCCGCTAGTTGTGATATATAATTTTGAAGTAAAGTTTTTTATATTAAATGATCCTGATAACCTAATTTTATACCTTCATCCTTTATAACTCAAATAGTTTGTGCTGTCGAGCTGTGTCGCGGCACGTACATAGGTCGCGAATTAAGTTTACTAAAAAAATTAATCAAATAGTCTCAATAAAAAAATTATTGTAACACACAATATATTTTATATCTTTAAACTTAAAAATATTCGTTTACTTTTCAGATATTTTTTCATATTGTTTCATCTTTTTTAAAAAAATTACTTTTCACACTATTAGAACTATTTAAAAATTTATTTAAATTTCCAAAATTCATTTAATTCTGTTATTCTTCTTCATTCTTTTTAATTTCTTCTATTTATTTTCAAGTTTATCTTCTAGCTGTACAGCAAATTCTTCTTTAATCAAATCATAATAAATTTCAATATTTTTTAATTTATAAGGTAATATCCTTTATCATTTTTTACTTTAATGATTTTCTTTTTAGTTTGATATGTCATAACATAGGGAAGAGGTTTTGTTGGATCTTGCAAATGCTTTTCGTATATGTAATTAAATCGACGGACATAATTGATGTTTTTTTATTTTTAGAAATATTTTTTATTGTTGGCAATTTTTGGTTGTTTAAACTTTCCAGTATACCTAAGTTGCGATCTACATTCAGTGTTAATTTTTTATTTTTCAGGTGAGTAAACCATCAATTTTTTTACCTCACCATGATACTTTTTTTCTAGAAAATACAAATTAATTCTATTACACAAGTTTATTAAAGTAAAAATTTTAATATTTTAAAAAAGGAATAACGCTAAAAACTTTATTCCGCTTTTTATCAAAATGATTTCTCTCACATTTAATGTAAAACTTATTTTAGTTTTTTTATTTGACTATTAGTTTATAATGAAGGAAAAAATAGCAAATGGGTTCTAAAAGAATAATTGAGAGAGAATGGTTTTAAAGAAAATTCTAAAAATAATAACAAAAGAAAAGTAATTTTTAGTATTATTTATTAGCAATAAATACCTGCTTTAACAGCTTTTTCAAGCCCGAACTTTTTCCAAGCTACAAAATATTAAACGAAAGATATTTGGTAGCCAGGGCCATAAATCATGAGATATTACATTAATATCAAAAATAAATTTAAATAATTTTTGAATTTTACATACATATTTATTATTGTTCCGTTTATTAATAAAGTCCGGGCAAAGTACTATCAGATCGGGGGGTACGTTCTGCTAGATGTGTAATAAATGATCGAATCGATATTATAAATATATTATATCTACTTGTAAATCAGAGACTATAAATAAATAATTCAATTATACCTACAGGTATAATTGAGGCAATTCAATTATAACTCAATTATACCTACATATATAATTTGTTAAATATGTTTTTATTTCCATATGATTTGCACATTTTCCAATAAAAAATATTTGACAGCTTTGTATAGTTTTATTTCTTTCAAGTAATTTAGTGAAATTCGTGGCACATTTATATGTATGTATGTATAAAGACGCTTTGTTTTAATATTCATAAATTTAAGTTATGCGCCGTAATGTGGGTAAAGTTTTAGCTCAGTGACATTTCAATTTTTATTCACTCAAGACAGTTTTTAATCATAAAAGATTTATTGCATTGATTTTCTAATGCCAATAAATATAAACCTTTGATTTATGTATAAACATATTAAATATATTTTTATATTTTGATTAACTTTAAAAATATTTTTTATATCTCGATTAACCTTTTAAGTAAATATTTTGTTATTCTTTACAAAATTTTTATATTTTGTAAAAATATTTCTTGTAAATGCTTTAAATTGTTAAATAAATTGATGAAAAATAAAATTATTCTGTAAAAAGAAATGTAAAAAATCAAAGTCATGCACAATTTCGAACAATATATGATAGACATTTTTTCTAAAAATTTAGGTTTAACCCTAAAAAATTTTATTTAAAAATGTTGAAATAAAATCTCTTTTTCTGTTAAAAAATCTATTGCTTTAACTGTTTTTGTTGCGAAATCTTAGAGATGAAATGTCAAGACACCGGTTAGGCTACGTGAAGCCCATTTTTTTATATTTTATTATATTGTTATATTTATTAAATTATATTTTAATAAGTTAATTGATCAGTTAAGCTCTTTAATATTTTTATATATTATGTAACTAAATTGTTTATTTGATTGTAATTTCAGTTATTATATACCTATTTTCAACGTAAAGAATTTTAATTAATACACATACTAAGTTAGGTAAAGATTATTTTTCAAAATAGAAAAGGTATTGGGGCTTTTTAGCTTTCAGCTGTAATATCGTTTCTCTGTTTTTCAGCCGATTGAGTTGTTGACGATGAAGTCGGATTGAATTCTAAAGTTGTTTCATGTTTTACATTTTATAAAGATAGAGAGGTATAATTTTTTAGATTTAATGCATTACATTTCTAATACACTTCAATTGTTAAAAATTATTGTTTTTCCTATAAATTAATTTCAAGATTAAATTAACCTCACTTTGCATTTGTCTTTGAATTACATATGTTTGAATAAAATGATTTCTTGATAATTTTTCTTCCTTACATTTTTTTCTTAAAATATTTAAAATTTCGACATTTTATATTTACATATTTCAAGAATTTCCATTATTTTAATAATCAATACTTCTTGGCAATACTTCTCTATTCATGTTTTCTGATGAACCTCCAACATTACAATTATTTTTATTATTTGAATTATAATTTTAAATTTTCATCATTCAATTAAATTGAAACAAATAAGAAATAAATAAAAAAACATTAATTATTTATCATGATATCAATAAATTTATTAATTAAAAATTGAGTTTCGATTTTAAAGTTTATATTATTCAATTAACAATTATTGTTTGTGTTTGTGAAGAAATAGAAGGAATTCGAAATATTTTTATGTAACTTTTTTAACATTTATGATTACTTTTTCAATTATTTATGTTACCGTTCAAAATGCTTACAGAGCAAATTCTGACAATAAATGCTAACCAATTTTCTCTAATATATAAGTTGAAATTAATAAATTTAATTTTAGGAAAATCACTCATTTATAAATTTAATATATTTTACTATGTAGAAAAAACTCACTATAACAATAGTCACAATTTACTCGTTATTTATCGAGTAATAAAAATTTTAATTTTTAAATAAGCTCATTCACCATACGCTGATCAATTATACCACAATAATTTATTATAATTTTTTTAATTAAAAGGCTTATTTTCTAATGGCAAAAATTTTAATGTTGATTAAAGCAATTTCTCTTTACAGCAATTTCTCTTTACAGCAATTTTGTGTCATTTAAATTTTATTTTTTTAAACTTTTCTTTGAAAACTTTTTTTCTTTGTATTAATGTTTGTTGTGTTATTAAGTATTGCTGACGATTTTTATTTCAGTCCTTTTGATCAACATATCCATTCATTATATTACTTCTTAGCGTTTTTCAAAACTGCTAAATAATGTCATGATTCCAGACTTCCAATATGAATCTATTATTATATATTAATTATTATGCACAATTTATGAAATATTTCTACTTTTTTCTCCACAAGAGCAAATTAATCTTAATTTTGTCGAAATTTTTTTAGTTCAAATTCTAAAATTCAATTGTTTTTTTCAAAATTATTTAACGTTCGTCATTTTCCTACTCGAGTAATTAATCACCGGTTCTAACTCATACAATTATTTTAACTACTTAAAAAGCATGTAATTTAAAGCATGTAATTTTGTATTGTATTTAAGCATGTAATTTTGCATGTAAATTACAATTAAGCATGTAAATTACATGCTATTTAAAGCATGTAATTTTGTATTGTATTGTATTGTATTGTATTGTATTGTATTGTATTGTATTGTATTGTATTGTATTGTATTGTATTGTATTGTATTGTATTGTATTGTATTGTATTGTATTGTATTGTATTGTATTGTATTGTATTGTATTGTATTGTATTGTATTGTATTGTATTGTATTGTATTGTATTGTATTGTATTGTATTGTATTGTATTGTATTGTATTGTATTGTATTGTATTGTATTGTATTGTATTGTATTGTATTGTATTGTATTGTATTGTATTGTATTGTATTGTATTGTATTGTATTGTATTGTATTGTATTGTATTGTATTGTATTGTATTGTATTGTATTGTATTGTATTGTATTGTATTGTATTGTATTGTATTGTATTGTATTGTATTGTATTGTATTGTATTGTATTGTATTGTATTGTATTGTATTGTATTGTATTGTATTGTATTGTATTGTATTGTACACAGCAACATAACCTGCAACTTAGAGCCGTTTCAGTGGCACTGAAATAAATGAAAAATTTTCTCTTTTTCTATATCGCTCTATTTTTTTCGCATGCTATTTCTCTAAAGATTTGATGTATAATTTCGAGAAGCTTTATCTCGAAAAAAAACTTTGAGAAAAAAATTTCAACTTAGCCAAATCGTTAAACAAAGTCTTATCTTTGTTTTAAAACCAAATTTATTGATTTTTAATATGTTTAAAAAAAGTTACATATGGTTTTATAAGTAAATTTAGAAAATGAAAAATAAAGGAAAGATTGATTTGAAAAAATTTATTTTAATTTAAAATGACATTAAATGTTAATTAGAAAAGATATTATTAGGATTTCCTTATTATATAATTCATTTTCACTGAAAGGATTCGAACCTTGTGCATTTTTCGCTGTCACTAACCAACTAAACCATACTCCCGCACTGAAAGGCTGGTTGCACCCTCTGCCTGTTTTATGTTGCTGTGTTGTATTGTATTGTATTGTATTGTATTGTATTGTATTGTATTGTATTGTATTGTATTGTATTGTATTGTATTGTATTGTATTGTATTGTATTGTATTGTATTGTATTGTATTGTATTGTATTGTATTGTATTGTATGTATTGTATGTACAAGTCAACAAAATATTTAAATGTCTCGAAAATAAAGTTTTTTCAGATGCACAAACTCAACAAGTCTATCTAAATGTGACACATTATTATTTGCTTGAAAGTAATATTTATATAAAAAAATTTAATTTAAAAAATTTAATTTGTTTTTGTGTCAAATATTTTTATATTTTAACAGTCTCCATCAATTTCGCTGTTTGATGCATTTCACGAGGATATTAAATTAATTATTATTATGAAAATAATAATTATGAAATTATTAAAATTAATTAATTAATTAATACTCTTTTTCAATGGCGATGAATAAGACTAATGCTACACAATATACACATTGTGCATGGTGATCAATTTTTAACTTCTTAAATTTTCCATTTCATACTGTAACGTCCACTTTTTTACCAATTTAGCTTTTAAATTTTTTACCTTCTTTAATGCAATGACACAAGTTATTAGTACGATGTAAATTATCTAAATAATTTTTAAAAATCATATTTTCATAAACACTTGAATTAAAAATATCGAACTGATTAATGGAAATATTAAAATTAATTAAATACGACAGATTTTCATTGCCAGGACCATCAATTAAATAATTAAAAATATTCTTGTCGGTTAACTGATTTAGACAAATTAAAGGCAAGTTGTATTGCGTTGGTTGAACGTTCAGTTATTTGTTCTTGCTTAAAGTGAACGACGGAGAAAATAGTCAGCTAGAAGCTAGATTATTTTTCTTTCTCAGTGAAAAACT